TACATTTTACTACGCTAAAAAATAATCTAAACTAAACGGCATAAAAACACATAAATATACATGAGGATATTAACAAACACATTTTTAGACTAATTTACATATTTTTATACAACACTAAAATTAAATCCGGATAAAATTTAACATGCTAGTTTCGGAAAAAATAAACACAAACCGAAATAGAACACATACAAATCAAGTAATATGCATTGTTATAAAAGTTTCAACTTAAAATAAATCGAAATACCTCGATTTAGAATTTTCGAAATGTAGATAGATCGAAATTTTGACTCCGGAAGAGTGAATCCACAATAACACGAAGCTCTACTCGACAGTGGGACCACAAATATTAAATTTTTATGTGACGGGAGACCCAAATTTTTATTTTATTTTTTTAAAATGGGGGCAGAATCGGTGGTGGTGGTGGTGGGGGGGACCAGAAGTTAAAATGAGGGAGATGGAACGAAGAAGAAGAAGATGGGGGATTTGTATTAAGGGGTATAGCGCCACTATTAATGGCGCTATGTCTTCAGGTATAAGGCATATAGCGTCACTATTAATGGCGCTATATAAGTTTGTCAGTATAACGCCACTAATAGTGGCGCTATACAGTAACGGTACAGTTAACGTTACTGTATAGCGCCACTATTAGTGGTGTTATATATACTTTGGTAACTTCTTTTTTTTTACACTTATTTGAGTATTTTTACTAAAAATAAACCATACTTTGGTTCCGCTCTCGGATAAAAATAAACCTATCTTCAAACTTAACCATTTGAGTTAAAAACTTAACCTATATTTATTCACACGGACAAAAAGATTAAAGAAACCAAAACCATAGGCGCCAAAGGCGACAGAAATGGTCAGACTGTGACACTGAGACTCTTGACTCCTACTGATCACTAACAATACCCCACACCTCTCTCTTCAAAATGCCTTGTTTTTTTTAGTTTATTATTGCATTCATAATTGGATTTATACTAATCCAGATTTGCATAGCATAAATCTTATCATGAGATTTAGCGCTCCATACTAAAGAAAATTTCATTCATATAGTTCAAACTCAAGAATTCTTATTAAAAGTAAAAGAATCTTTATCATTTCATTATACTCTTTGATAATATTTTTAAAAACTTCTATTATAAAGTGTAGATACTGGCGATGTAAAAGAATTTTTTAAATATTCAATCGTTTACAAGATACTCCAATTAACTAATAGTAACCACCGGTAAAAAGTAAAATAAGTAACTTGAAAAGTAAAACAGACAATATATTATAACATATTAAATTAAAATACTAATAATGGAAGTTGATTTTCACTATTTAATGTATATAAGTTAGTAAATAAATAAACAATAGCCCACGTCAGCCTCCATTTTAGTCATTGACCAAAGTTCAAACTAACCATGGTTAGTGAAATAGCTCTTTTCCTTATTCCCTCTATTTGTCTCACTTCTTTTTTTCTTCCTTACTCTTTGTTTCCACCTTATTATTTCGTCCTTTCTCTGCTAAACAGCTGGTCCAGCCAATTATAATTCGTACTATTTTGTAGTATTATATAGTATTATAATTTCTTTTCTAATACAATTGTTTTCCATGTTGGCAGTAAGAAGGGGAAAAAAAGAAAGTTGAATGAATAGATAAGCCAAGAAAAAAGAAAAAGGAAAGATTTGCTAGGTAGCTTCTAATATTTCATATATTTATATACTGCATTTGACTCTTGTTTTCTATTTCCACTTAAGTCTCTCTCTCTCTATGGTTTTGTATGAAAAGATAGAAGGTTCTGCTTTTGTGTGGATTGATTCATAGCACCACAAAGAACTACATATGATTTATTTCTTATGATTATTGGCTCTAGCTTCTCAGAAAAGTAAGTTTTTCATTTCCTTACTTTTTATTTAAATTTTTGCTATT